ATGGATGGATGGATGGATGGATGGATGGATGATGGCTGGATGGATGGATGGATGATGGATGGATGGATGGATGGATGGATGGCTGGATGATGGATGGATGGATGGATGGATGATGGATGATGGATGGATGGCTGGATGGATGGATGATGGATGGATGATGGATGGATGGATGATGGATGATGATGGATGGATGGATGGATGGATGATGGATGGATGGATGGATGGATGGATGGATGGATGTCTGTGCCCTGGCTGGGGCTGCGAGAGGGATGGGGAGAAGTGAACCCCGTGAGACGGCAGGATCTGAATCCCGGGGGGAGTTCTGACTCTCTGGGCAGACGTGGGGCATTTCACCTTCGCTGTGGAATGGAAGTAATCATAATAATTCACTGCTTCCATGTCACTGCGGCTCCCTGCCAAATTCTGTGATGCACCCGCAGTCCTGTCCGGGCAATTTCTGGCAGGTGCAGCTGCACTTTTAGTGAATTAAAGCCTCGATCCAGCAAATGGCACACAGGGCAGAATCCAGGATATCACCCTGGCACACAAAGCAGCAAAGAGCAGAGCCACAGGCTGTTCCCTTCCCTCCGCAGAGCTGAGCTGTCCTCGGCCACCGAGCATCGCCAATGGGCTGCACAGCGGACACTCCTGGGCCAGCTTTCCCCGGGGGGTGACCGTGTCCTACAGCTGCAGCGAGGGCTTTCAGCTGCTCGGGAACGCCTCCATCACCTGCACGGACTCCGGGCTCTGGAGCCGGCCCCTGCCCCGCTGTGAAGGTGTGCGGGTGCCTCGCTGCCGGCTGTCCCGTGCGCTCAGAGCAGCGGGCTCAGGGCAGCGGCGGCACGAGGGGCTCTGTGTGTGCGGGCTGCAGCTCACGCAGCGACACTAAAAGGGCTCTGTCCCCACAGCGATCGGCTGCCAGGTCCCCGAGGTGCAGAACGGGAACGTCTACAACCCCCAGAGCACCTACAGAGCTGGAGAGACCCTGCTGTTCGACTGCGATGCTGGATACAGCTCAGAGGGCACGGCCGAGGCTCGGTGCCAGCCCGGGGGCACCTGGGACCCGCCGCTCCTTGGCTGCCAGAGGGGTGAGTGCGGCTGCAGCAGGAGCAGGGGCTGCAGCACCAACGGGGGCTCAGGCAGGGATTGAACCCAGCAGAGCAGCATCGCTCCGCCTGCCGAGCCCTCGTTCCCTGCTCTGTCGCTGGGTTAAATTTCCCATCCCCATCTCGCAGTCCGGCCGTGCCCGATGCCTCCGGAGGTCGCCAATGGAAAGCACAACGCGCAGGACAAAGCGTTTTTCACGGCTGGCATGTCTGTGAGGTACAGCTGCCATCCCGGCTATTACCTGGTGGGAAATGCCGCTGTGTCTTGCAGAGCATCGGGGAACTGGAGCCAGCCCAGCCCTCGCTGTGAAGGTGAGGCCGGGCTCGGTCCCCTCGGGGACAAGCACAGAGTGACTCTGGGCACAGGGGACACCCTCACCAAGTCCACTGAGACCTTCAGTGAGAGACTGAATTCTATTTTAATGAAATATATTGGTTTATAATGTGCAAAGAGCAAGTTAAGATCCCCGAACCCCGAGCCAGCCCCCTCCTCCCTGAGCTCCTGTCCCAGCCTGGCTCCGGCGCATCCACGGATGGTGACGGTGCTGAGACCAGGCACGGCCATGGGGGGAAAATCGCTTTTAGGGGGAGACCAGCTGAGCTTAAACGAATCATTTCAATACTCTCTGTCCAAAAAATCAGCGGAGAGACGGGACACCCAAAGGCTGCTGCAGGATGCAGCTGGCAGGACCTGGGGGCTCCAGCCCTTTGTCCCCCCAAAGTCTGACATGCTGCAGGGTGGGGCTGAGCTGCCTCTCCAAAATCACCTCTCCCAAGTTCTCAAGAGGTTTTCCCGTCGCTCTGCAGAGCTGAGCTGTCCTCGGCCACCGAGCATCGCCAATGGGCTGCACAGCGGACACTCCTGGGC